CTTCCCGTTACTGACGGTCAGCCGGTTGTAGCGCAACGCGGTTCCAAGTTTTAACATTATACCGCCACCTCTCTTATTTTACTTTCTCTATGGTATCGAACACAATGCGTTCCTTTTGGAGTCTGTGCCACAGACTACATACTATTTTGTGCATTTTGGTTTATCCGTATTAAGCAATTTTAGTAGGTTCAAAATTCAAGTGCAGTATGGAATCAGGTAGGTAAATAGCATAGTGAGTGGTTCTAGATCTAGTGCAAGTGTTTTTGTTCTGAGTTGCTATTTAGTGCTATAACTTTTGAAAATCACGTCCAAACGACCCGACATTTATCATTGAAATTAGCGATTGCCCAGTGCCGTATAGTTTTGAAACTTGTTTTAAGAACTAACAATAGATTATTCGACACACAAAATCTTGGCTATGATCCGGTTTTTGCAAAATTTTGGGACCTATTTCAAACCTCATGGTTGATTGCGGTTATGTTCCATACGTCTTCGTCTTGTTTTGGGCGGCTTTGTACGGAATGTTGCACGTTAATTAGTCGGTTAATAAGTGGTTATACGCAATGTACTACATAACTCGTAATTTTTGCAGCAAAACTCCATTTTAAACTGCAAGCAGATTTTTTCAAAATATTCTTAAACAATTGTCTAATGTGTAGACAGCAGCATGAGCAACAGCATCGAGATAAAGAGAGACTGGAGCGGGAGAGACAGGAACTTGGTAAATTGGACCGAAAGAGAGAATAAAAGGAGATGCAGGAACTTTCGTTAACTTTGCAATTACTTCAAAATTACATTATAAAAGAAATAATAATTATGCGTGATGAGATTTCCACCAAGATCGCTGAAAAGTTTTGCTGATCATTTTTCCGTGACTGACGAACAACTTTCGAAATTGTCTACCTGCTATATCGTCAACCTATGATTAATGTATTACGCCTGTATTTCAGATATTGCGGCACCGTTGCGTCGAAGACGAAAGGAGAGCCTTTACCAGCTCATAGTAGCCGATTATATTAGGCAAAACGACTGAGAAATTGACAAAAATGCACTCAACAATGATGCCAAAAAGTATGAGTTTTTAATCTGAAAAATCGCTTAGGGCTGCACAACAAAAGCGTGAGCAGCAACAGCAATGGAACTCTATAGGTAATAGGCAAATCCAGTCAACACCTTCGTTCTTGACCGACGCAAACTGACCTGCATCAAAGAAAGAGGCATGTGGGGGCGGTGAGGGCTAATGACGCAAACCACAGGTACTTATTGCATCTTTCGTTAACTACAATAACTTCAAAATCCCATTATAAAATAAATTTTAATTTTCCATGATGAGATTTCCACCAAGATCGCTGAAAAGTTTTGCTGATCATTTTTCCGTGACTGACGAACAACTTTCGAAATTGTCCACCTGCTATATCGTTAACCTATGATTAATGTATTACGCCTGTATTTCAGATATTGCGGTACCGTTGCGTCGAAGACGAAAGGAGAGCCTTTACCAGCTCATAGTAGCCGATTATATTAGGCAAAACGACTGAGCAATTGACAAAAATGCACTCAACAATGATGCCAAAAAGTATGAGTTTTTAATCAGAAAAATCGCTTAGGGCTGCACAACAAAAGCGTGAGCAGCAACAGCAATGGAACTCTATAGGTAATAGGCAAATCTAGTCAACATCTTCGTCCCTGACTGACGCAAACTGACCTGCATCAAAGAGACAGGCATGTGGGGGCGGTGAGGGCTAATGACGCAAACCACAGGTACTTATTGCATCTTTGGTTAACTACAATAACTTCAAAATTCCATTATAAAAGAAATTTTAATTTTCCATGATGAGATTTCCACCAAGATCGCTGAAAAGTTTTGCTGATCATTTTTCCGTGACTGACAAACCACTTTCGAAATTGTCCACCTGCTATATCGTCAACCTATATTTAATGTCTCGCGCCTGTATTTCAGATATTGCAACACCGTTGCGTCGAAGACGAAAGGAGAGCCTTTACCATCTCATAGTAGCCTATTATTCCAAGGCAAAACGACTGAGAAATTGACAAACATGTACTCATCTTACTTGTTAGTTACTGTTACTTATTTTAGATAAAATAGAAGTTTTGTTGAAAAATAAGTGTTATCCTTACGTTATCCTTTAATCTCGTAAAGGAAAGGCTGATTTACAGAAAACTATAGTAGTGGGACTCAAATATAAAATGCAATACTACAGGCTGCAAATATATTGTAACAAACATTTGTTATATCTTCATGTCATATATGTAAAATATAACAACTCAAACAAATACTGAAATTCATTTAAATATACTCCTTCCTCAAGTAGCGCTAACTGTCAATTTTGAAACTGAGCTGTCGAGATTCGCGCCTGCCCATTGAATACATTTACCCATCAAACTCCATACTAAGGTACCTGTATACGAATATTTTCATATTTTTACTTGTATACCGTTCATAGCATTTACCTAGCTACCTCTAAAATACGAGTAATTTGCCCCACCAAGGTACACATATCTTAATCTTAACCGCTTGTCATAGCAAAAAAATGCAAGACATGGGATTTTTTATTTGGAATGCAACAAGGCGTTTGAAAAGTATAAGCGATAATTAAAAAGTACAGTGGCGCACTATTGTTTTCCTTATCAATATCGGTGGCGTGTAAATACCCACGCCACTAACAGCAAAATTATTTTATTGCATAACATGAGCCTTCCCTATCTGTTGATCGCGGGAAAATTTCGTTAAAATATTGCATTTTGAAAAGAATTATAATTTCGCATTTTTGAAATTAAAGTTCAACACCTCGTAAATTTGACACGAAACATTTTTGAGTTATCGTGTATATAGCAAACTAGGGTTATTGTCGGACGTTTTTAATATTTAATTGGCATGAAACAAATAAATTAATAATAATTTGTCTTAGTATATAATACTTTTTGTACCTATATATAACACCATTAACACCCAAAGTGAGTAAAAGTAAAAGTTACTAATATATTATTCTTAATACGTCCCAGATAGCATTTGATATTCTATGAATATCCCAGAATGTTCAAAAAATATACAGAACATTGCGGGAATATCCTGGGAATATACATGGTTGAACATTCCTAATATGAATGTTCGTGGAATATGCATGCATGTATATTCATCAAAGTTCATAAAAAGTATATCCTAGGTATGTACATATATGTACATATTGGGTATATGTGCAGATGAACTTGCCAGGTATGTACATATTGTGTATATGTGCAAGTGAATATACCTAGTATGTTCAAAACAAATATTCTGGTAATATACATGAATGTATATCTACGGTATATTCCAAATTGGTTGAATATAAATTTTGCGTGCCCGCAGCAGAAAACTAAGGGCACGTACAAGTACAAGAGTTTATATAAACTTTTCTTTTTAAATGCGTCAACGTTATAATTTTATTGTGCAATATTAATAAAATTTCTATATTACTCAAATAAATTTATCCGGAGCTAACAGTTTCCACCCTATGAAATTCAAACAATTAAAATGCATATAACAAATTCAAATTACCCGCTTAGTGTGTACAAGGATTATGTCCGGCTATAACGTGACATTCGAGAGTGAATGAGAGCGGACCAATGAGAATTATCTTTCACGTAGTGCTGCTTGGCGGTAACGCCAAAGCTCTCAGAGTTTCTGAAAAGCTGCAAAGCGACTGACGAAAATACTCTTCTATCAATGTAAAACTATTAACTGTATTTAATTGTATTTTAGTTTTAAATTAGTTGTAAGTAACTCTTGTTGAAAAATTACATCAGTAAATACTTAAATATGTGAATAAACTAATAAGATGAAATGAAGTATCGTTTTTCTTTCGTTACATATATGTATGTATATTCCTTGAACATACCATATACATTCACTGAACATACACATGTACATTCACTGAACATACCATGTACATTCCCAGAAAATACACATATATATTCACTGAACATACCAGGTACATTGTCAGAACATACGCATGAACATTCACTGAACATACCATGTACATTCCCAGAACATACCATGAACATTCACTGTATTAACTCTGACAGATTCCTGGGAACTAATGTATGTCCCAGAAATATGCATGTACATCACGTGAATGTTCCAGGTATATTCTGGGAATGTCATTTTGCTATGTGGGGTGTGAACAAACTTTAGAACATATTATCTCAATTTTTGTCTTTGTGACTGAGTCTGAGTTCAACTACCGATGGGGGCGCTGCAAAACGTCAGTCTTTATTTATGCGTCAAATTACTCGTTGCGGAACAAAAAACCTTTTTCTTCACAAATAGCGTTAGAAACAGCTCAAAATTCACATAAACATAAAATTTAAAAAATTCAATAAGTTGAAAGTTTTAAACAAACTGAATTATTTGTTTGTTGTATACAAGTTGAACCAAAAAAAAGAGAAATTACATATTTTGGATCCGGCTCAGCCCTTAACAATGTGTTAATAATGTTAATAGAATATAAATATGGGTGATCGTATGTCGTTTGAGTCGCTCCGAATTTATAGTTTTTATCTTTTTTACCCTAAGGAACACTTCAAATTCAGCACTTTCAGAGGAGAAAAACCCTGAATGGTCCATAAATGAAGGCAAAAACACTTACAAACTTTTGCAATTTGCTTTTTCAAAACCACTTATTTTTGCACGAAAATGAGTGTCCGGTGCTGATGAATCGTGTTTTAGGTATCAAAAAATTATAACACCCATGCAAAATTGTAGCTAAAATGCATAATAATTGTGTTTTTGCAAAAGTTTGAGCATCATTTCTAACGTCGCAACTTAATTGAGGCGCGTCGCGCGTCGCGCGCGCTTATTTCTCGCGTCGATGGTTATAGACGGCCGATTATTTGTGTCGTTCGGAAATTGCACAATGCGGTGTTTCACGTATTTTTGCGTTGTTTTCCTTTGGGTTAATTTTGAGTTAGTTTATTTGTGTTAGCATGGTTTAAGTGATTTTTTCAATAAAAAAATATATACAAAAAGTAAAAAATTAATAATGGGAAAACTGACAAGCGGTTACGTAACGTAACGTTAACACGTGTTTAAAATAATCATTCCTCATGAAACACCTTGTATGAACAAAAATCGAACGCGTCCAAGGTTCCTATAGTATACTTTAGGAATACTTGGAACGCGTCAATGTAGTATAATCCACAGATCTCAGAGTAATCTCTGTGATCTGTGGTCTAATCTGTCTAGTGACTTTACTGGGTCTAGTTTGGCAATCCTGTTTGCAATGTCACACCGCATTGTCGATTGGGGTTGTGATTTATCGGCCATTTTATAATATGCAAAACATACCTTTTAGGTAAATTGTGTTGTAGTTTCCAGTTGATCTTCGTATAATTAATACGGCTACGTCGTAAGTGAGTGCTTGACAAAGAAATTTCTTAAATCGTTATACCATAAGCCGGTGGTAGAATTAAGTAATGGTCAATATGAGTGACGATAAAGGTAAAGCCATTGTGAAGTTCGAACCTATTTTCAATTTTTATTTACATATGCTTCCTAATGCCAACAGAAACGAAGGATTCTTCTGACCGAAATCGCGAACGGGATACGAAAGATCGACGAAGAAGATCCCGATCCCGTGAGCATCGCCGTCGTTCCAGATCTCGATCCAGGGAGAGAAGGAGAAGTAGATCCAGGTCGCCGAGGGGACATAAAGGTAAATAACTGTTCTTTAATGTAAAGCCCCAAATGCTTCGATATTTTACAATGTTTGGAACGAAATGTTATAACCGAACCGTTTTGGAATCGCATGGCAAAAAGGTACAAGCAACGTGTCTTTTCCCAATTATTTTTCATCATAGTGACGAAAAAACGCAAGAAGCAAACTGATGGTGTACACTAACTGTAACTGGTTTGTAGAGCTTCAGCAGTACTCCCATATTAATTTAGTAAATAATCTTGCTTTCTGATATCCTACATGCCTAGCTTAAGATTCGCCGATTTCCAATTTTTCGTTTTTTTAAATTATAAATTACACTTATTATTAAGCAGTTTTAGCTTTAAGTAAAAAATAAGTTTATGAGTCGCTCGTGTTCCAAGTTGGCAATATATATGCTTATGGAAATGAGGTTTTTGACCACTTTTCACTCATTGAAATTCACTAGTTTCCCATAAGATCACAAATTATGTTATCTTATTTTGCACTACTAACACCTCCTAGTTTCCAAATAGGTACATGAATTAATACTTGTGTGTCCTGTGGACGTATGTGTAAAGCAAAAATTACGTGGTAGTGTGGATTCTTTTATTGTGATTTACTTAACAGCATAGTAGAACATTACTAGCGATATGTTAAATCGAGTCCCAACTACAATCAATCATATCAATTAGAGGTTTTAATTTAATTTGATAAGATTAAGTAGAAATTAACATTGAAATTTAAATGATTAAAACTGCAACATTGAGATGTTAACCTACTGAAAGTAAACATGATTTGAGACCTAGGCTAATCCAAACCGATGCAAATAAAAAGGGTTTTAAGAAAAATATATTTTGCTCAGCGTCTACATAAAATAATAGGGAATAGAATAAAGATTACAATTTCTATTATTATTAAACTTTTTGTACAATTCGATTCGACATTGTGACAAGTTTCGCCCAGATTTGACGAATTTGGCCAAATTATGCAAGTGTTTTTTGGTTTATTTTACGGAGAACCCAACATTTTTTCTTAAAAAAATACGAACAGGTTCGGATTTTGGTGAACTTTAAAATTCAGATGTAAATTACATTCATGTAAATTAAACTTACTTATGGTTCTCGCTTTGGTCATCTCATATTGTTAAACAGAGTAATCATTTACGAATATACGACGGCGACCCCTCACATCACAAGCAGTAGGACAAATAATTCCAATAACCCCATGCCAAGGGTTGTGAATATTAATTGAATAATTCAAACTGTTTATATGGTGCAAAAAAGTTTACGAACTTTATAAAAATAAGTACGGTTCTAATATGATCCAGCGGCATATTTGGCATCGTGACTGAACGGATTAATCTTTTTACAGGACATTCCAGAAGGAGGAAACCTTCTTTGTATTGGGATGTACCTCCACCAGGTTTCGAACATATTACTCCTCTTCAATATAAAGCCATGCAGGCCGCTGGTCAAATACCTGCTAATATTGTCGCGGATACACCACAGGCTGCGGTACCTGTCGTAGGATCTACCATCACTCGCCAGGCCAGAAGGTAACTTGCTTTTTCGAATACTGTAATATATTAATATTTAAGATTGTTTCTCTTTCCAGATTGTATGTGGGTAACATTCCATTTGGAGTAACTGAAGATGAAATGATGGAGTATTTCAATCAGCAAATGCATCTAAGTGGCTTGGCCCAAGCTGCTGGAAATCCTGTCTTGGCCTGTCAGATTAACTTGGATAAAAATTTTGCTTTTCTAGAGTTTAGGTCTATTGATGAAACAACTCAAGCTATGGCGTTTGACGGTATTAATTTCAAAGGTAGGTTTTTTGTAGATGTATTTAACCGTTATCCAAGACTTGCGGATGAGTTTAGTAAAACACCTCTCATCTACAGTAAATGTACGAAACATTTCTATTTCAACTGTTCAAAAGCCACATCGAATATTCAATACAATCCTCTAAAGATTCAGTTGTACATTCAAAAGTTATTAATTTATAATTCGGTAAATTTGAATCTTTTAATAATAGCAACTAGTAGATTTGCCATCTTTCATTCTTCATCTTTAATGTAATTTTTTTTTCATTTATAATTTCAATCATTTAAAACTGTATTCTGTTGCTTTAGGACAGTCACTGAAAATTCGCCGTCCACATGATTATCAGCCCATGCCAGGTATGTCAGAGAATTCCATCAGTGTTCCAGCAGGCGTCATAAGCACCGTTGTACCCGATTCTCCGCATAAAATATTTATAGGGGGATTGCCGAATTACCTGAACGAAGATCAGGTAAGAACTAGTGGAAATATTAGGTGTGAATGTGGGCAATTGGCATTAAAAGTTGTATTTGTATCGTTTTTGAAATTATTTTCTTGCGTTTTCTGAATTAAACTCGGCGTCCAGATCAATTATAAATACAACTTTTAGAGTGTAAATATGTGAAGAAAGTTTATCACTTTTCTTAGCTCTAGCAAAATAGTGCATCAGCCTTCATGGAAAAGTATCCACATAAAAGAAACGTGCGTATTTTCTTTACAGAGTTTTAGGATAAAAAAAGTGGTCACATGCGCAGTTTCAGGGTTGTTCAACGATTTCAGGGCTTTCTTTCAGGTCTTTTTCTATTACAGGGTTTTTTAGGTAAATGAGCAAAGCTATGGCGTTCATATTAAGTCTTCAAAAAAAAAACACGAAACACAAAAATCCGCTTTAGGTCTTGTGTGTATCTTTTTGTTTCAGCCTCTTTTTCAGGTTAAATTAATTAGAAGAATATTTTAACATCGGAGATTTTTTAGTATTTTACTTTAAAACGAAAATATTCTATTCTTTTGAGCATGTACCATATGCAGAGTGTAACTTTTGTACCGTGAAAATAGTAAGATATCAAAATATGAATTATATTCCTAAACCCTTAAATATTAATTTGCTATGCGTTCTTTATAATACGATTTTCGGGCATGTTAGGAAAGCTAATTTGGCGTACTTAATAATTATTGCATCTGATATGTGCTAAAATGTTAAATCTGGCCTATTAAATTTATTACTTTTATTTTTTTCTGTAATACCACATGCAGTGGTATAGCGAGAAAAGAGTAATTCACCCTGTGGTTCTTTGCTACTTTATTTTGATGTCTTAGTCTAGTTTTATGTAGCCCTTAGTCGAAATGCTTGGGATTAATACATTTTTTATTTCATTTATACATTTTTCCTACACTGTTGCTGATTATTGAATATACTTAAACGTTGTTGAAAACAAAGAACCAACTTGTATTTTGAATTGAAAATTTATATACCTGCATTTCGTATTTCTGTATGCAAAATTATGTTAAGCGATATCTCAATTATTTCCATTTGAGGCATTGACTCAATTTCTCATTTTATTTACTGATTAACTTAATTCTGAAGCATTTCGACATTTCTAAGTTACACCTGCATGGGAAGCTGAAGGCTAAAACTTGCGAAAAATTATGCAATCGAAACAGTTTGATGGTATCGTCATCTTTAAGTATGTGAATGTATGGAATCTCACACAATTAGGGGATAAAAATTAGATTGTTGATTATCTTGTCTAATCTAACGACAGGCTCACGTCTCATTCTCTAGAGGTTCTATGTAGGATGTTTTGGCAGTAATGTCGAGACAAAGTTAAAAGTAAAAATGACCAATTTCTAGAAATGTTTCTAGAATCTCAACAAGTCAACAGAAAAAAAATTGTAACACTATTACATGAAATTGTAATGATAAGCCTGCAGCAAGAAAAACTCAAGTAATTACTCAAAGCAACTTTGTTTTTACTAATTGCAAACAGCCACAATTGAAGTAATGTATTTTTAACTATTAGCTTTTAAACTATTCATTATAGTAACTGATTTTCATAGTCACAATTGCCGATTTATTTAAAAAATAGTTAGTCATCGGGGCAAGCTTTTTGAAAAGGAAGCAAGTTGCGCGTTATTTTCTCAAAAAGTTATATGAGTAAATACGTTTAATAATTGAAATTAGTAGGATTATTTTTTATAATATTAGAAAAAAGCAAAAATTATATAAATCCAGACAATTGTTTGTAGAAGCTTCAGTTCTAGCAAATTAAAATAAGAACTGAAGATGTTTAACGCCCTTTATGATGATCTTCAAGGCTATTAAACATTTTAATTTGAAATATGTCTGAGCAACTTTATTCTGATATGTGCATATTTGCATTTTATTTATATGAATATATACATACATATACTTAAACTTCATATGATTTATTGGACTGTTTCAGCAGACTAAGCCGATGTTTTAAATTCAATAAGAATTTTAATATGCTCTCGATTCTCTTATATAAAAAATCTCTTTCTCTCTCTTTCGTAATACTAAAAAGACGAATATTTTTTATCTGTTTTAAATCAGAAAATTATAAAGTACTAATGTAAATGTTCTTAAGAAGATACTCATGTTCTGATTTTTTTGCCCTATAGCTAGGGTCGTGCGCTCGATCCTTATGAATTGTTGAATCCACACTAAAAAACCCGATCACCCTGTGGAATAAGAAAGGCAAGTTAAAAATCAGTCAACGTAAAAAAAATGCGAGATGCTTAAAAGGTTGCTCTGTTCAAAACCAATTTAAGTGGGGTTTATCAAGCCGAAAGTAATTGCTTCACAAATTTATCAACATAAACTCGATTATATATCCTCTTTTTAAAATGAATTGTATAAAATACGCAGCCACTGGTTTGTATGAAATATTTGTGTTTGTATGTACTCACATTGAATACTTGAATCTATAATAGAAGTTGATTTGAATATACTCTACTTATGCATGTGGTTCTAATACGATGTTTCCTATACGACTAATTTTCTTCTTTTTCTTAAAAAATACACTTGGTAACTGATGAACTTGCTCATAATGAATATATTATATTCGTTTATAATATTATGATCGTATTATCATATAAATCGTTGGTAAATCATGTAGATTAATTTAAAATTAACTAATGTTTGCAGAAAAAAAACGATAAAATTTAAAAAAAATATTTTGGAATTGGAAACTGTTTTCGCATATTTAGAAAAATTTTGAGTTTGGTTTATAATAAAATCATTTGTTCTAATAGTAGGGTATTTTGTGAACAACTTAGCAAAAATTAGCGCTTTATTATATCTAGATCAATCATGAGGATAACATATTGCATGCTTTCTTTTGTCAACATTTCCAAACATGCCTAACAAAACAAATAATCTCAAATAACGCAAATATTTATATTAAAATGCAGTTCAAGTTTAGGAGTACAGTTCTGCGGTAGGCGTATTTTTTAAATTAATACTTGTACTAAAAAAATATCAAACAACAATCTTAATAAAAAAAATTGAGAATCAAAGCAAATCTGAGCAAATCTTGAGTAAGTTATTGTAATTGTTCATCTCTGAATAATTCGACAGTTTGATTCAAACCCCAATTTATTGCACATTGTTCAGTATCTTTGCAAGTCTGCCTAGTAAAAAAGTACTCCACCAGCGTTTTCAAACGCAGTCTACGCGCTTGATTAACCAAAAATATTGCTTTGAATAAATATTTGCTTTTCAATTAGTTTAAGAATGAAAAATTTGATTTCGGAAAAACCCATTTACTATTCGTTTTAATAAACTTATCGTCGTTTCCATTGACATTTTCGTACTTTTGCGCCTTGTGTTTTATAGAAATATTTCGTTTACTACTGTTTGCAATTTTTACAATAAAAGTTGCACCGACTATTCGCAAAATGCTTTTTATATAAGCTGTCACAATCCTGATACCAAGTTTAATTCAATGTGGGTACATTGTCAATTTTTAACTGGCGAACCAAAAGAACTAACAAATAATACTTATTTTAGGTCAAAGAACTGCTGATGTCTTTTGGCCAATTGAGAGCTTTCAACTTGGTTAAGGATACCGCATTCGGTTTAAGCAAAGGATATGCTTTTGCCGAATATATTGATATCAGCATGACGGATCAGGTATGTGATTTTAGTGTAAGAACGGTGTTATTTGTCATACAACTGAGGAATTTCTTTTAGGCGATTGCTGGATTAAACGGAATGCAGCTTGGCGACAAGCGACTGATCGTTCAACGAGCAAGTGTGGGAGCCAAAAATGCTACAGTTCTACCGGCTGTTCAGATACAAGTTCCGGGTCTCAGTCTTGTTGGTGCTTCCGGCCCTCCAACTGAAGTTTTGTGTCTTCTCAATATGGTAAGAACGATTGATCATTTCTACATTTCAAAAGACTTGATTTAATTCGAAATGTAGTTTCGATAAATGAGGTCTTTAAATACATAGAATAAAGAAAAAAATCATTAGTGTTTAAGATGCAGCAGTTTCAAAAGCCAAGTTATCTTTATGGAAATCACAGCAAACCATGGTAGATACCAAGTTTACAAGTTTTTTGCTAAATTTGTTGATTACCCTAGATAATTGTCTGCATAACACAATGTTCATTTGTCAATTAACAATTTTACAAATTTCATTAAATTTACAACAGTATATATCCGATCTTAAAGGCATTGTCCTATGTATCTGATGATACAATGATACGAAATTTTCTATTGGTCGGATGATGTCTCAATTCAAAACATTTTTCGATTAATCGATGAATATATCCATAAATGTTTTCTAATTGTTTTGGACCTATACCTGAGTGGTAACCGGGATTCTAAGAAGGGCGATCTTAGATTAGTCTTAGATTACATAGTTTATCAGGAGTTTTTCCACTGATATTGTACTCTTAAAATATATGTTCCACCTATATATATTCATTATATGTTTGGGGATTCATTCAAACAACAAAATTAATTATTTTATTTGAGTAAAAAATACTTTAGTTCGATTGATTAAATGTTCCTTTTTTTTATCAAGGTTCTGTTTGGAAAGTTTAATAGCAATACAGTGATTTATAGGTAGTCCTTTCTACCTCTTACGATTCTAGGGCATTGTTTCCTAAATACATTTTCGTAAATTGCTATTTATAAATCAAGCTACTTAAATTTTCAGGTTACCCCTGACGAATTGAAAGATGAAGAAGAATACGAAGATATTCTTGAAGATATAAAGGAAGAGTGCAACAAGTATGGGGTGGTGCGAAGCATAGAAATTCCAAGACCAATAGAAGGAGTAGAAGTTCCCGGATGCGGAAAGGTAACTTTTTTCTGAGTTTGCGTTGATTTGGTTATTGATGTATTTTTCTGTAGGTTTTCGTGGAATTTAATTCAGTTTTGGATTGCCAGAAAGCCCAGCAAACATTAACCGGACGAAAATTCAGTAACAGGGTGGTGGTGACTTCATACTTCGATCCCGATAAGTACCACAGACGAGAATTTTAAAACTATAATTAGAGCGAGTTTTTTAATTTCATTTATTATTGATTTCATTTAGTTGTCCAGGTTCTGCAGAATTGATTTGTTTTTTTGATGAGTGATTTAAATAAGGACTGATAACGTTTTTGTATGCCTGATCGTGGAGTTTTTTAACAGCTGTAAAGTGATTAGAAATGAAGTTCGTATAACTCATAGAAAGCCAATTCGTATTCGTATACCGAGCTGTAAGATAACCAACCTTGGACGTTATGGGAATAAACATCCGTTAGAAATCAATCTATCAGACTATCTATTAAAATCCCAACATTTAGTTATGTAGGTTTATTCCTATCTATGTTTAAACTATTATTCATGCGGTGACGTTGACAATTGACTCAAATGATGGGGTGTCAGGCATACTAATTATATGCAATTGGATTCATTAATAGAAAAAGTTTGCTTTTTTTTACTTTCAAATAAAAATTAGTTTTGAATTTATCATTAATTTCATTCATTCAGCTTTATTTCAAAATGTACAACTCAGTCTTTGGGGGAGAAAGAGAATTTAAAAAACTTTGAAAATAATGAAAATGCACGCGTATAATTGCAAAAATAAAATTATACGTTGAAAACAATTACAGGAAATGCATTTTTGACGCCCCGCAGCTAACAAATTCATTTGGAAAAGTTTTGTTCACTGATTACTCAGTCATAAACAAGTTGGTTCGTGTGCAGGCAGGAACACAGTGCCACTAATAGTGCCGCCGTTAAATTGACATCTTCACATGCGCATTTGCATTTTAGTAAGGTGTGCCACTAATAATGTGTGCGATTGCCGTTATTTGTGCACCCTTTACGTTTGGCACATTTTACTTCGGTTGATTTGGTGACGGCTTCGTGCATCCACGAGTCCTCAAACATAACATTTATTAAGCACTTAAAATAAATTATGTCCTAGATATAATTTATTTTAACATAGAAATACTAGATGGGGTAAACAGTAATACATTTTATAGGTTACAAATTAAAATTAAATCATATCAGCGCCTTATTTTCTTTTCCATAACATTGCTTTGCAAGTGAAGTTGTACTCGATATTTTTTGCGTTACAGCCTGCAATTATTAGTGATCGGGCACTGAACATGTTTTTCCCTATCTCTATTAAAGACCAAGACTAACAGGTACGTATAGAGTGATTATTTGGTTCTATATTTAATAGTTGACTATTTGATAGTGAATGGTTAGTACCAAATCACCTGTTGGACAAGATACTTTATTCAGTTGTGTAGATAGTCGTTATTATATTAAGAATAAACTATAATCAACTTGTTAATATATTCCGTCTTTCATTAAGATCCTCAACTTTATACAATTCTAATAAATCACAACAGAAAGTTCCTCAAGTTTTCGAGTAGGCGAAGAAGGAAACACTGCGAAGAAAAGCTGTAATAAGTCTGCCACTCTGTTTTAGTAATACTGTACACTAATATAATAATAATATATCTTGTATCAGAAAATATAAAACTTTATTTTAGAGTCTAATCGTTATTGATGACATGCTTACATCATTGTCGTCTTTTAGGGATTTTTCATTGAAATAATAAAATATGTCATAGTGTATATTACGACGCACGACGACACGACTGCTAATGCGTCAACTAAAATTATTATTGAAATTTTTGAAATAAAAATTTGATTTGAATAATTTTTAGTTTTAAACTTTAAAATTCGATTTTGCCACAGAGGAAATCAAAGTACCAGCTGTTTGTGTGAATCGTTCTGGCCGGGTGGTCTTCATTATAGTTACTTCTTTTGCCTTTCGAAAGCAATTTTTTTAACTTTTTATTAATGCTTTTTGTATTTTGGCAAGTCCGCTTTTCTCTCATTTTAGAAAGCGACCTGAATTATTCAGTGAATTTTTGCTTCGTAGGAAAATGTCTACATACGCAAATCTGATCACCAATAATTAGCGCCTTTTCAGATGATTTTCTTATGGCCGACAATGCCCTGTTCAGTGTACATAGACAATATGTTAACGAGCACTAATTCCTCGTCCGAAAAACCATCCGGCATGAATTTCGTTTAAATAGTAGCACTACCAGGCAAATGTTTTCGTTCAGTGTAGTTTTAGTAGTGCAGTTACACTCAATCTTCAATTGCTTGGAAGAAAACGACTAAATAGTAAAAGTAAAAAAAAAATGAATAAAAAGTAAAATAATTACTAATATTTTAATTTCTCTATGGTGCATGCATTCGAACAGCTTTCATTCTAGTTCTAGCGGGGCACGATGTCACTAGATGGCGAGACATTTTACTTTGAAATTCAAATCTTTGAGTTACCCTTCTTAATGGGGTGTTTTGTCTGATTTTGTCCTTTCTTCTTAATTTAATTGGTTGTAATTATATGGTAATTAGTACATTATTATGATACGAATTGGTTATTAGTAAATTGTCTGTGATTAGTGACCGGCTAAGTGGAAATCCTACTCAGATTTCAGAGTTCTGACCCAATCATTTGGTCTATTTTTGTGTTTCGTTGCGATTGTCAGCCATCGTCCATCGTCTTCAAGTTCTGGCCGTCAGTGATGCAAGCAAATGCAAGTATACTAAATAAGATACTTAAATTAATAATATACTAGGTGTCTAATTGTAATTATCTTTGATTGATTCGTAAACTCATTTGGATAATGAATTCTCAAATAACTAATGATTTATGTCTCTATTCTCTCTAGTTAACTATTTTTGTCCGCACAGAAGATGAACAAATGCATGCCTGGTTTAACAGTGCAAATAATAGAAATCGCTTCTCTGAAACAGTTTTTTGGATTGAATTAAAGCTGCAACCAAGGCCGTTCTTTCAACTTTAGTTGTCACTTTTTTGGTAAGTTTCATTCTTTACTCCAAATACCTTTATTGATCAATGTAGGATTTTCTATTATTTTAAATTATTGCTTTGCTAGAATGTGATACAAGCTTTACGTCCAAATTTAATATCATATTTAGGTTGGGGTTATTAGAATTAATTATAAATACATATACTTATAGTAAGTATACATGGTGGGTTAATTTTGGGTTAATCATTTAGATCTCGGAAGCGGCCGGCTCTACGGGTATAAGAGTAAAGAAGTAGTATAGTTGTCATGTGCTCTTTTATCTCAAACTTAAAATGGTAAAATGAAAATTTGTATGTAAACAGTAGTTTTCGATAAGGGCGAAAAGTGTATTTTTTCGAACGACGACAACGTTTGACACCCGAGACGAATTCGAGGGTGTCAATCCGTCAGGAGTTCGAAAAACGGATTTACGCTCGTATCTAACAATATTTTTTAATCGAATGAAGGAAATAACACGAATTATCAGTTATAATAATTAAAAATAGCCAAAAATAACAAGCGTCAACTTCATACTCAAAATTTGGTGTCAATGCCATTTTTGAAATTGTCATGTTTTGACGTTTTTAATTTTTCAAAAGCGTACTTTTGTAAGCATATACTGAAGTGCTGCTTTCACGTTATGGTGTTTGTATAAGTTGTATATTTTATATGACATTTGCGCTATTTAAAAAGATCATGTTTTGCGTGTGGCAACATCGGCAATCAGAAAAATAAACCATTTGAACTTGTAACAGAGTTATAATTTACAAATTGTGTCAACTTTAAATTATGATCAATAGTTGTCAACAAACCTACGTAATTCATTAAGAAAATGTTGTCGGTCACTTTTTAATGAAAATACTTTAAAAATATGACAGTGACACGTTCAATTTGTTTGCTACTTTTGCGCACATGTGCGTAAAAGTCCGTGGGTAAAAGTAAAACAAATGAACAGTGGAGGTGGAGAAAAGTGCTTCTTTTTGATCATCGCTTGCAAGAAATGGCGGTTTTTGATTCATTCGAATAAAAAAATGTTTTTTTCTTATTAACCTGAGAAGTCACCATTATTTACTTCATTTCCCTTGTGAGAAGTTATGTTTCTCTCCCTAGGTCAATAATAATAATAAGTCCCTAGGTAAATGATGAAAGATGTTTTTGTTTTTAATTGTTTTTCCAAGTGAGATTTCATCCATTTTCACTTCTAAAATCACTAACTTTAATATTCACAAATTTTTCTCTTTTCCCAGGTGTTTTTCATAGAACTTTTATGTTTTCCGGAGACCGAAAGACTATATTGCGGCAGTTTGACAACTGAACGTCAGATTATCAAATATAGTGACATTTAGATAGACAAATAGCAATTAATTGGAAATTCCAAATCCAATTAAATCAATTTAGGCAATTATCTGTATTAGTAGTAAACAAAATTCCATATATACTTCGGTCGAGAAGTGGGCTATTATATACCGAGCACTTTTAATTTCATTGATTCATATCGCACATTATATAATGTGCGATATAATGTTTTATAATAATATATGTGCGATATTATGTTTTATTTTTTATTACTTACCTGAGAAGCCACCAATATTAACTCATTTCCAACATTTCCCTAGTGAGAAGTTATTTCTCTCCCTAGGTCAATAATAATAATAAAAAGTCCATAGGTAAATAATGAAAGATGTTTGCACCATCTCCATTAGTTCAAGAGATCATTTTTCACTTCACTGAAATCACTGTAACTTTAACATTCACTAATTTTTCGCTTTTCCCAGGAGGAAAAGGTCTCCGCATTTTTTACTAGGTGACTACGCCGGTGAGTTACGCATGCCTATTTCCAATGAAAAGTTTGTTTGTGCGACTGAACTCGAAATCTTCAAAGTCCTACTAACAATTTTAATAAATTGGTAAATATGAAATTGTGATGAAACAGCTGATTAAAAACTAAAATTGTGCAGTCACATTTCTAAAGTCAGTAGAATTCTAAAAAACTATAATTCATTAGAAAACTTAAGTTCATGATGGTGGGCCGAAAAAGAAACATTGCATTTCAGATCTCATAGTATATTCTTGTAGATGGTAAAAAGGAGTTCTAAAATGTGGTAATTACTTTGAAATATCATTTTTCGTCAGCACAGAAAAAAAATTGACGTTTGAGCAGATACCGGTGTTTTTTCCATAACTTTGGAATTCGAATATTTCCGAAAGAAGCGGAAAATTTCTCACTTTTTAAAACAGGATTTTATTCAGTACCAAAATGCTCAACTTTGCCCTAATAATTTATCCAACTTGGAATCTCTTACGGTTTACGAGATCCCAATGGCATAACACCGATATATCGAATTCGTCTGTATATCTGTAACATTTCTTTAAAACATTATGGTATGAAGGTACCTTTACCAAACATCATCATTTTTAAGTTTTTTAATTAAATTTCAATAACATGGTTAAAATAATGCATCTGTCTCATAAAACATTCTGTATATTAAAAACAGCAAATACGTAAAACAATATAATTTATGTCAAGGATGACATGAATAAAGTAGCTTGTGATTTAAAACCCTTGGCCCCAAACTTGAAAAATATTAGTTATAATTCTGATTTATTAATTTTTTCTAACCCTGCAATAAGCCTCCGTGACTACCATATCTGGAATAATCGCAATGTAAGCTCGTATTAAACCGTCGATAAGCTATAATCTTTTTGATATATGACTTACTTAGTATTTCTACGTTGCAGTCAGTTGGCATTCCGGAAAAGTTATACAAATTAAATTTTTATTACTTCTATGTTACAGATCTGACACTTCAAGATAAAAGAGCTTAAATTGACCGATACCGATATCTGAAAAAAACTAGTGACGTTATACGAAACTGCTCGACAATATGGGGAAATTTGAAATTCAGTCCATGCCAATGCAGAAAACCGACAACTATATATGCGGTCATTCCACTTGCAAAGACCAATTCTTTAATGAAAGCTCCAGCCTCCTAAATCATGGTTCCTTGTCGAATGGAAGTTGCAACGGCGTAAATAACTCGTTATCCACAGATACCAGAAACGAACCTTCGAAACCAATTGTAGCTCAGAATAGTTTAGCATGTAATAACAACCAATTAGAAGCCGGCGAAGAAATGGATGAAATCCTTGAATTTATTCCTCAAGGTATGAAGGTGTTCAGAAATCAAGTATCTGGACATATCATCGACGGATGTCACGGAATAGGTTAGTATGTTATCTTAGTAACTCTTATAGTAATGTTAGTTTAAGTATGCGTATTATGACGATTATCGTAATTAAGCGCGAACATGTACATCATTAAATTGTTAGTTGTCACTAACTTCTGATAACTATCTCCAGCTCAGTAGAACAATTCTCGTTTTCTTATTACCTCGGACTTTGATATTTAGTTTATTATTCATATTATCATAAATATGATTCGCTCTGTCCAATAGTTATGGTAATTTTACTGATACGCCGCTTTCTGATTTTAAAATATTTTACGATTGTAAGGCAGCAATGCTAGTAAGATGCAACAGAATGGTCAATGGCGATTTGCGAGTAAACGACGATGTTCTTGTAGAAAACATGTTAAACATATTTCCTTCAAACTGTCTTTCAATTAATAGAGCTGAATTAACTCTGCAATGATAGAACGAGTGTTTGTACCAATTGCCAAATATAACAAATTTCGATATGCATGACAAAAATGAAGAAAAATGTTAAGAGCTGTTTGAAATTGAAACTAAAGTTTGTCACGTATAATTATCTCTATTGGAATTAAGGTTTATAAACTGGTGCCACAAATTGATTTACAATCGCAAAAAATTATAATTTTAACTACTACCTACCTACTTTACGCTTTTCAGGTATGTTGACAAAGGACGGTTTAGCGTATAAACCTCTGCTGAAGAAAGAATGTGCCATGAGAGAAATAATGTTTTACGAATATTTGAAAAATTCGATGGACAGGTCCCTAACCGAAATTAAGCATCTCGTGCCAAAGTATTATGGAGTAGAAAAAGTAAGCATTGATTTTTTATAGTTTGGTCCTTATTGCTATTATAATATTATAGTAGGGATGATGGCTTCATTCTGTGTGTATTCGGTTACATAAGCTACTTATATTTTGAAGTATTGCCTATGTTCTCTATTTACCACAAACATGCTGTAATGCAGACATGATTTCTGATGTAACTTGAAGCAAAAATTCATAGATTGGTACTTCTATGCTACAAATTGGCAAAGTTTTATCTGCAATCTTTAGCTATATTAAGTTTGTAAAATGGCTATTAAACTAATTGAAAGTTGTAATTCTCTCTTCAAGAGCTAAAATCTTCATTTATCTTCAGCATGGTCCCTACTTTTTCCCACTAATTAAAGAACAACACAGTTTTTAAATCGCCCTGTATTTTTAAACTGACACATTTTAACAGTAATCGTTTATCTTTGGTTTCAGCTGGAAATTAATGGGAAGGAAATAGATTTTTTAATTTTGGAAGATTTGACAAAAGGGTTTAAGGAGCCTTGTATCATGGATATAAAAATTGGTAGGAGGACTTGGGACCCCAATGCTAATCACGCGAAAATTGTAGCAGAGCAGGTAATAAAATAATAGTAGATGTCAAGATTTTATTTTCTATTACCAATTATTACTTACTGTGGTTTTACCTGTCTACTGCGATCTAGATAACACAAAATTAACTTGCATATAAAATATTAATGTTGAAATAGTATTGTTGTTCTCGGGCCGTCTGCCTGATTATTTTTGCTTGCTAATGCTTTTTGTGCGTTCTATCACCTCTTGAAATTGAAAAACTCAATCACGCCTGTATAATCATATATTCCTGCAGCTCTTACAAAGTCAGTGAGACAATATTTATATTAATTTCGACACTAGTTTTAACCAATTTACATTTTTTTGGGTAAAACAACAAGAAAACTATTTTGCGAATTGTTACAATACTAGTTTTTACATTGGCGGCTTCGACTTGCAGTTTTGGTTACATTAACAATTAATAATCTGTAAAATGTTTATTTAAATGCTGCTTTTTTACATATTAATAAAAACATAAATTTTTTAACTGTATTAGAAAATGCAGACGTTTATGAAGCAAAAAAGTCGAGTATAGTCTACTCTAACTGTACCATCTATACGCTTGCAAAATTTCTAGCACTTGCAGAGGTCTACAACCTAAAAGAAACAAAAATTTTGGAGATTTCTTAAAAAATTTTAATATTGCAGAATAAGTTATCAACTGAGTTTCATATTTTTATTTACAGACTAAGTATTCAAAATCCAAGCGAGATTTGGGCCTTTGTATTCCTGGGTTCCAAGTTTACAAAATTAAGGACAATAAACTACTCAAGTATGATAAGACTTATGGCAAGAACTTAGATAAGGATGGGGTTAGAGAAGGTAAGCTAGTCAATATATCAAAATCGGAAATCAATTTTTAACAAATCATTACATTCCAGCCATCAAAATATTCTTAAACGCCGACACCCATCATTTTTGCCGAAAATTAATAGTACAATTCTTGTCATCTCTGTGGCAAATTCAGCATTTTGCGCGCACCCAACGACGATTCAGACTCTACTCATCTTCTATTCTGTTGATTTACGACGCGCGAAGACTACGAGCACATGCAAAACTTAAGACGTCAACTGAAAATACCGATGTTTCTATAACGAGTACACCACAGAAAAAAACACAACAAAATTTGGCCAAGCAAGGTTGTTTATACAGGTAAGCCAATCGCTTAACAAAACGAGCAGGTTTTCAACTGCAAAAACAATTTTCAGACCAATAAGTTTAGCTCAATTGAATCATGATAACGAAAAGATACCCACTGGATTTAGTGGACAGTTGACCCATGATGGCCCGATTCTTAAGGCACCTTCCAACAAAATTAAGAATCTGGTAAACATGGAGATGCCTAGAGTGGTAAACCACAGTAACACATGGAAAAGTTCAATGCGTACCCTAAAGCGAACACATTCGTTCCAGAATAATTACGATAAAGATGTGCAATGTAAAAAGCAGGACTATACATTAATTTTGGACGATCTTTGCAGCGAAACCAAAAGCGAGGTACGTTAAACAATGGCGTGAGTTAATGATTATTCAGAAGAATCACTGGACTTAGTAGTAAATGTCACCCGTGTTCCCCTGTATAAGCTCCCCATATTTTACGAGAAATACATTTTTTGACATACATTTTTTGCAGTAACTGAAAAAAAAGATTATTTTTCGAATAGGAATTGAAGAAATATCTAGTTTGAGTGTAGAATTCAAATCTACAGCAATAAAAAACACACCTTTAATTTCTCCTATTTTTAATCTTCCAGATTTTACGTTCCAAAGTTTTAGATAAAGTTTGAACTGTATTTAGAAAAGTTAACTCGAAATTAATATTAGCTGAGAGTAACTTAATTGTTAACTTTTTTTAGTATTTACGAATATATCCGCTGAATGAAATTGGGTTCAATTTTCGAAACCGACTGAGTTTTGAATATTGGAAAAAAACACTGTTTATATTTCAGGTCTGGGCGACAGCAAAACTAATCGACTTTGCTCACGTATACATTACGGATAATGTGGATCAAGATAAAAACTACATTGAAGGCATCGAAAGCCTGTCGAAAATGTTCGAAGATTTTCTTTATGAGACTGACGAAGACTAGTTTTTCATTAAACCTTACTTTTATTAATAAATTATCTTACTTAGTATTGGCTACTATTGTAACTCATGTCATGACCTTGCTTAGTGCCATTACACTACAGTTTCTACTAAATGCTCAATAGGTGCTTAATTTAAGATGCTAAAGCAGATTAAAATATTCTCAGGATATTTATGTATATCTACGGGGAAATATTCCTGACATATCACTCAAGACGTATTGATAACAAATAACCCTTAGGTATATATGTGATTATTGCGGCAGCTACTGTAAAAACTGATCTTATTTAAATTATATTTTTATTAAATTGTATTTGTATTTATTATGACAATTGTTATGCTAGATTTGGAGCAATTAACATGTTTTGGAATACATAATTCTCAACTCGGTTTGGATTGATATGTGTATTAATAATATTAATTATATAACTTAACATATTTTATAATGAGTACTTATGAGGATGTACTCGATTTGTACTGTAAATGGGGTAACAGTTCCGAAAATAAAACTATTTGTTTGGATCTGCTGAATTATGTGAACCAAACCGCAAAACCCGGTTTTTGGAAAAATGGTCACAACTTGCTGCAAACAAGCACTTGATGATGATCAGTTGATGAGAAGATCGAACATTAGTTCGTAATCTTTTTCGTCCGATTGGTCAACTATATTATGCATATGATGGTTAAGAAGATTTTTTACCATTTTTTTGAAATAAATCAAGCTAATAATGTGTCAGATGCCAGGTAAGAATTTAAATGCTAGAAAAAAATGCTTCAAATGTGAAGAATTAAAAATTTCCAGTCTAGTCTAGAATTTATGCAAGACGGGTGCACGGATTGGGAGATATTTTGATCATTTCATATTTTTGTGTTACACACTGATGTACATGGATAAAGATGCATACCTACTTACTTACCAGTGAGCTTCCCTAATAGTAGTATTTTAACATGCTTAAATCACTTTTAATCAGAGAATCTGGTGAGATAAAGTGAATTTCTGGTGTAGGAATTCTGTTTCAACTGATAATTTGAAAAGTCACGTCTATACATGTAGAGCAACTGATTACTTCTCTTTGTATTTATTTCTTCTCTACGCTTTGAGACTTTCTGACCAGATTTTTTTTTAATTGTCACTCAAATATTAAGCGAGAAACGGACCTACTCTTGTTCTCATTATAAAGAAAGTAATTAATTCACCATACTCCACAAAAAATTGCATCCAAATCGGTATTTTCCTGAATTTTTTCGATTCGATGGAAAACTTTGTCTTCGCTTTCAGATTCTCTGAAGAGAAACTTTTGATTGAGAAATAAAACAATGCGATTTATTTTGTTCTTGAATTACAACAGTTTAATGTTCTCCTATATCTATATATATGTATTGAATAAAAGATGGTAAAAAAATATATTATTTTGCAAGTTAGGGTGTAACATATAAACAGGCTTTTCACATAATATATAAAACGACTACGTCACAAGCGATTTCTTTCTATAAAATAGTCCGAGCTATCGTTGACACAGAAATATTGTCATTTTAATCAAATTTGTGTCTGCTATAGCTGATTGTATTGATGTATTTGTAAAAAATGATTATTCAGTGTTAAACTTGTAAAAAAAATAGCTTTAAGGTTTGATTAATTTCAACATATCTTTTCAGACACACAAACATTTCTAATAATGATTTTTTTAGTTTTGACTAATCACAATGTTATTTTATAGATAGGGCTTACTATTACGTTTGTGGTTATTACCCATGGACCAATCGTTGATTAAAATATGTAAATTTACTTATTAAGCCGGCATTATGCGTTGGTACTGTGGTCTCAAGTTCAGTCCGGAAAAGTTGATAGCCTCAAATCGTGTTTTAGGAGAACTTCTTGGTGGCCCGATCAAAATCATCGTAAAAAGTGTATTACTTGTTATACTTATAATAGCCTTCTCCAGACTTTACGCCAAGCTTCTTCTCCTGTACCAACTTCTTGGTTGATTCACAGGGTACGAACAAGGGATTGCCAGGAAACTTCTTCTGCCAGCCCTGAAGAATTGAATTGGTCGTGTCATGTCCAACGTAATCTGCCAATTCGATAGGACCCATTGGATAACCTGCACCCAATTTCATAGCCGTATCGATGTCCTTAGCAGAAGCATCTCCTAAAGAATAATATGAAATGTAAGTTCTTAACATTCCAATGTAAAAAAATAATTTTTATACCTCTCTCTAGCATTCTAATTGCTTCAGCTATGTAAGGAACCAACAATCGGTTGACAATAAATCCGGGCGTGTCCTTGCAAGTAACGCAACTTTTACCAATTGATTTTCCCCACGCCATAAATGCTTGGTAGGTTTCTTCCGACTGTTCTGGAATTCTGACTACTTCAAGAAGTTTCATAACAGGTACGGGGTTAAAGAAATGCAGCCCACCGAACCTTAAAATCACTTACTATTAGCAACTTTTTAAATAAACCAACCGGAATATAAAAGTTCAGCCGGAATTTAAAATTCTGTAATAATTTTCAAAACTATTGCTTCATATATAATTGTGAAATTACATATGTACAGGGTTAGTACCTTTCGATACGTTTTTAGTAATTTAAAAATAATCGGTTATTTATGGAATGGTTGAGATCAATTTAATATAACGTGCCGTTTTTTATTTTGTTTGATTACTTAGTTATGATGACAACTGACCGTTTTCACTAATTCTGTAGTTTAAGATAAATGGCCACTTACATATTTTGGGCATTTTTTATATTTTAAGGTTCCCTTATTTCAGTATTAAATGAAATAGGAAACAGCAACAAAACCACATAAATTGCGCTTTCTGAATACACATACAATGTTCCATATTAGTTAACAATTATTTACATTTCGAACATAATTTTATTGACATTTCTTGTAGAAAGGCCAGTCTAGTTTACTAATTAAAATCCGTATTTTCAAAAAAAGTGTTCGCAAGTTATTAACTATTAGTAATAAACGGATCAAATGTGCATTTTCAAAGTGCCAGACAATCATAAAAATAAGCGTGTCAAGTCGTTGGTGTTCAAGAGTACAACGGTTTCTGACTAGTTTTTGTTTCGTTTTTAACTCAATATCAAGTAAAAAAGGTCGCTTCAAAATTGTAACATATTTTAGAATGACAAAAGTTGTAGATCAGTGCATCAACACAGACTGTACGCTGTACAATTAGCGTTATAACCGTTAAACGCTATACAATTAGCGTTATAAACGCAAAATGCTTTAAAATATAGCTTTCCTGGTGCAAATCGACGATTATTTTGACAGCCCACTATTTCCAATAGAGTTATAATATAGCTTCTATCAAAAATGTACAGATCTGGAGCTACTTGTTTACTTCAGTTCCAACATCGTTGAATAAAAAATATTTCCATTCTTAGACTTTGAGTGAAAAACTCCGAAAATCGCAATTTGTACCTACTTTACGTGTTTATTGCAATTAGATTTTAAAAGTTTATCCCATTCGAGTCATTACCTACATAACTTCTGACTAGTATCTCTGAATATTTGTTTTATGACAACGTTACAATTAGGGTAATTATTTCACTTACTTGTCTTTTCTTTTAACAACCGAAGCAATTTCACCAATGGACAAGGAACTAGTATTTGAAGCGAACAATGTTTTCTGAGGGGCTGCTTCGTCAAGTGTCTTGAATAGCTTGTGCTTAATTTCCATGTTTTCAACGATAGCTTCCACCACTAAATCTGCATCCCCTACAGATTCTTCTGCTTTGGTAGTTCCTGTGTTTGATTGGACAAAAGTTTTAAAATCAAATTTTATTGGTCACTGGTAAATCTGTGTAAACAAACCGAATTTTTATATAGAACGTTTGCGAATATTTAAGCTACTTCATTTATTTAATTAATATATTTATAATTATTATTAATGTCGATTCTTAATTGTCAGGGTGTCAAGGGGGTAAAAGTTTTCGATAGAACTTCAGTAACGTGTTCAATCTTTGTTTGTTTAATTTCTACACCATTCAACTATGTTTCCAACATTGAATAGAATAAAAAACACATACTATGCATTAACTTACAGCAGACACACCCCAAGTCATTAATAATATTTTCAATATTCTTAATAATGAAAAATACTGCTATCAATAAGTTACCTTGTATACGTTTCTTAGCGTCTTCGACAAATTGTTGTGCGGCATTAGGATCATCTTTATAAAGTTTCTTAGCTACGCGAGTCAGGTTTGTTGCAATATTTGTCTGAGCCTTTTGAAGTAGTTCTGGGTTTACCTCCAGCAAAGTCACGTGGTTACCATTCTGTGCTGCAACCTGAAACAATAAGACGAAAAATAACGATATTTTAGAATATGAATGTGAAAAACGGCCACTAGTCATTCATAGTGTTAGATCTATTTTTAATATTCAATTGATGCTATTATGCGCATAAGTGAGCGACTACGCTGAGCCAGATAAGACGCTGGCAGGAAAAATAGCGCTTTTTGTGTTTGTAATGTGTTAATGTAATGTTAAATCTTATCACCTTAGCGCGTGAAACAAACTCAAACATAAGATTAATGAAGGCATTTGGATCCAAGCTTGCCAGGGTTTAAGAAAGGATTTCAGCTCTTCACAATCAACAAAATTTAAATGAATTTATATGCAACTGCAAAACGGATTGTCTTATTTTTCAGTGTTTCATTTGTAAAAATAAAAGTTTCGCCATTTTTATCTTTAGTTACCAAATATCGCAAATGACTACACGTGGGGCTCAAGCACAAGGTTTACCTAACCCAGAGGGAAAATTTGAAATTTCCAAAATTCGGGCGACTTTTTGATAATGAAAATATGAATAATATTTAATATTTCGCATGCAAAGCAAATATAAGTAGTCAGGAAAATCGTGCAATACCTCTTAATCATTTTTAAATCACTCTGTATATGTGTGTACAGACCAAATCCTTCTAACTAGAAAGCAATGTTCAAGAAGAAATTTATGTTTATTAAATTGTCGTAAATTTTTCTGCATCTAAAGTTTTTGTGCTGCTATTTCTAGGTATTTAGTTATAACAGCGCTATCAATAGATGCGACGAGCTCAGCAGCACAAGCATGCCCATTCTAGTTATGCAATGCATTATTTGCATAATTTATATTAATTCCAATCTGTCCATTGTTCTCATTTCTTGATAAGCCTTCAGCAACGCTTTATCTTGTAAATCTAAATATAACTTGTTTTTTAAAAAGAAATTTTTTTGACGTGAATGTTTTTACTCATTTTACAGATTATACTATAATTTTACATAATAATACAGTGGAAATTAATGCTATTCTCCAGGCCGTCAAATAATGCAGAATAGATCACAAGTACACCCAAGTTGTATATGATATATAGACAAACATGCAATAACAAGACTGCATAAAACTACGCAGGAAATAGATATAAAACGAGGAGCCGATAAGGAGACACTTTATCACCAAAACTATTCACATCGGTTTTAGAATACGGTTTCAAGACTAAATTGGGATAACAAAGGTATTACAATAGAGGGAGAACAACTAAATAATCCTGATTCGCGGATGATATAGTGTTCATTACGAATGATCTTGGATTGAAGCGGTTCAGCATAGCTATTCCAGATCTTATTCTCAGAATTCTCACCTGAGCTATTCCAGATCCCATGAGACCTCCACCGATGACCGTAACATTATTAATTACCGCCCTGGCACTTGAGGTTGCAAAAGCCCTTGTACTAATTAATTTTAAACTGTTCATTTTCAAATCAAGGCAGGCTGAATACCTACTGCTAACTGTTAGCCTGCTCGATAATATACAATAACAAAAGTCGGGTACAAGGTTCAAAAATCTCAATATATATGCCCAAAGTTCAATGTGTGATTAAATAAAAAGTTATTGATATTGACTTTTTCTTAGTTTTCAACGGTTATAGATACTAAATTTTCTAGTTGTCTATAATTTATTTTTACATAAAATATAAAATGTTTTGGACCCAAGCAAAAAAATGCTTATTTAACAAGAAATCAACAAAAATTTTGTGACTGTTGTCGGATCGCACAAAAGAATTGAAGTGTGTAGAAATTGAGGGAAATACTTAATAGAATAATGAAACTTAAAGAAAAAAGATTAATAAACTCAAACCGACCACAGCAACAAGTAATTATCGCTTAAAAATTAAATAGGAAACAATCTTTGTAATTAAAGGAGATAGGCCATTCCTTGAAACTAATGGGTTTTCTCGGGTTTTTACGTCGTACAATAAAATTTCTTCCTGACGTTTCGCAAGCACGAGTGGCTTGCATCTTCAGAAGTGGTTTGCTTGAACGCTTACATTGTTCTGATGCGATTCCTCGGGCGCAGTCCGTATTTATCGCATCAGAACAGTGTAAGTGCAAAATGTTTAAAAGTAAAACAGATCCTGTACAAGTGGCATCAGCGTATTTGTTGGAATTCCAAATGTAAGCAAGCAGCTGATTGCAATAACGAGAATCCCAACCTCAATACTTTGAACTTAATCGCTGTTCACACGGGCCACTCTGCAGCGCTTCTCAGTGGCGCTGCTGAGAAGCGCACGTCAACAGTATACTAACTACGCGGCAGCGCCGCAACAAAGAGAATCAAGCGTAACGACTATTCCTTCCTAGATTTTTATGTTCTGTTTTTGTGGTACAGACTTTCTTAATAAGTGTTTTTGAAGTAATAACTTTTTATGGGAGGGTGAACCGATTTTTCTCGGTCACGGCGAGCCACTCCGGCCTCTTCGCGCCTGAGGCTTGGGACGCACATATGCACTTTGAATTCGACATTTTTTTATTAGTGCGGGTGCATCTGTAGATTTGATAAACTTTTCAAATACACATTGCGTTGTTAAACTGACAGTGATTTTGATTTATCAATTATTGAGTGTGATATCATTGAGTTCGGTGCAGTTTATTTTATAACACTGATAACAACGAATCAACAAATTATCAAGGGAGAAGCTGTAGATACTGCAAATACTAGGTTAAGGGTGCTCATGTACTAAATGCCTGTTCGAGTTTCGTCTTCTTTTAAATTTCCAATTAAATTACACACACAATTATACACACTAATAGCAGTTTAAGTGCAAAAAAATGCAGATCGTCTTTCAATTTGAAGAAAAATGTATTACAAACTTTTGAAAATCATCTTCAAACGACCGGGTATTTATCATTGCAAATGAGATTGCACATTGCCGTGTAATGTTAAATATTGTTTTAAGAACTAACAATCGATGTTGTGCAACAAAATTCAGATCCACTGCAATAAAGTTTTTGAAATACTGTTGGATCTATTTTAAATCGCCTGATTGATTGTGGACGCAAATTCGTACCAAGAAAAGATTAAATTAAATTAAATCGTATGGATAGAATCCCGGTACCGATTCCCTATGTCTTACTCTCCGCCTGTAGTCCAGATGCTGCCCAGATGATGTCCATTTGCATTGTATTGCACGATTCGGTAAAATATTACTACCTACTGTGATTTTCATCGGAGACAATTGTTAAGCCAGACGTTGAGCGGACATTTTCTAAAGAAGGCAGGGTCAATTTATGAAAAACGCTCAAGATTAAGTGCAAATAATGTGTCACAACTATTATTAATAGCTTTTAATGCAATAATATGTTCTAATATTTGTTATTTTATTTTGTAACAACATATTATCAATATTTAGATATATATTTTATAATCTTTCATATTTAACATAAAATGATAAACATCATCACTGTTTTGTAATAATATATAATAAATATGTTTTGAATTTAATTGAAAAAATATTATTTCAGAAAACATGGGTTCCGTCTTCTTATTTTCTATCACGCAACGCATTCTTGATGTTAGGACGATACGAATCTCTCTTCAGCTTATAGTTGCAAAATATGTAAAACGAATTTATTAGGGCTTATTTTCAATTCTCTACATTATTTCTATGATTAATTGTGTTTACCACGCTTCAAAATGGATTTTTTCCCTTCATATACCCTTTGATTCCTTTATGATTAAATCTTCTCAATTTAGTTTAATTTTTTTAGCCTTGGATTAGTTCAGTTAGAATTTTTTTTTTAACATACGCGCGATGGCTTACATTATGTTTGCATATAGTGTGTCAAGTGTATCATGGCTTTATAGCTCTTCCTCGTTTTACCGACTATTTTAAACAGATAGAACGTCTTCCAATCACCAAAATTAATTGATTTTTTAGTCCTATTCAGACAAGAGCAGTCACAAAAACATGCTAGAATGCGAACAGTATTGTAAGTAATGCTGAACGCCAAAAACGATTACGTGCTAAAAAAAGAGCATTAAGTAATAGATCAACTCAAAGTAGCTTTCATCAACCACGAACTGGTGCTGAACGTCAAAGATTATACAAAGCAAATAAGAAATTACGACTAAAAAATACAGAAACTCAAGAAGAAGAGTTTACACAAGCCCAAGAAGAGCAATATGTACAACATCTCGTTAAAGAATGTTAAATGTTGCAAATAAAAAAAGATATTTTACATTCAAAAGGAAATTAAATTAAATTTTACCTATTCCTGATCCATTTAGAAATTATTAGACTAACAAGAATATTAAAATTATAAAATAAAATTATTATTGCCATCATGCGTAAAACAAGTTCAATATTTTATGGTTTCTATTAATTTATGAAGTTATCACTTCTGTCGAGCGTCCCGTGACACACACCATTTTTTTAAAATGAAATATGTGTGTTTTATGTGATAATAGCAAATGTATTTCTCATAATAAAACTAATTAAATATATATTATGTGAATGCCTCAACACAATGTTATTGCCAGTTTTCTTCATTATATGATTTTCCTCCAATTTTATGCTTGAACCTCGTCTTTATCTATTATCTATGGCCTAAACATTTTCACACTATTTCAGTGACACCTTGTCGTATATTTTTAAAACTATTCCAATTCCAGATAAAAATACATTTAAATTATAAATTGTCTATTATAATTTTATTAGCAAAGCTCGAATTACAGACCGGTCTGCTGTAAAAGATTGTGATCAAACCTTTGAACTTGTTTATGACTACATTATCATTTAACTCATTATAGGTTGAAATAAGACTATTCAGTGCAAACACAATCCGTGGCGTTACGTTTCGAGCACAATTTAATTCGAGAGCTTCGAGAACCGTTGTTTTCGTTGAGCGTTTGGTGGACAAGTTAGATTAAAAGAGAAAATGGCATTTAAACCTCTGGCAAGTTTCATTTTATCGAAACCTACAGCAGACTTTTTGAAAAACGTTTCTAAAGTCCAAAATGTGAGGTTTCTGGCCAGTGTAGGAGCAACTCAGTCAGGTACATATCTGACTAACTAACATAATTCTGTTAGTTGAGTATTTAAGCATGAACTTTGTTTACTTTTGAAAATGTTTACTGTATCAACCAAACTAACAGGATATTGAGGCAATATATTTCTTGTTTGCTTGTTTTTGGTATCACGATTATCAGCTGATTTGGGCTGATTAGTTAAATATAAACAAACGTGAAAAGCAATTACTGTTGTATTAAACCTCATTGTGATAAACATATTTTGAAGAGTAATTTATATTTTATCATAAATGGGCATGTTGAGTTGCGACTGATAACTGCAGTTTTTTAGTTTTCAGTTATTACTTTCGGCCAATAGACCTAATAAGGTTATGTTCACGTTATGTTTCAATTGTACCTAAAGCAGGGTCCACACTTGCTATATAACGCTGCTTTATAGCCAAATTGCAGGCATGTTAGAGATTTTATAATGAAATATAGCAAATTTCCCTGCTATATAACATGCTACATGCTATCTATCTTTTGTCGGTAAAGATCAAAGAAAATCGCACTCGAATGTTATTTTAACATGTAGCAACACGTACAGTCTTACACTCAATATGCGGTTTTTATTGTTAGTAATCGCATAGTAAACATCAGTGGCAAAATGGAGTTAGAAAATGATCAGTGGAATGCAGAAAGTATCTCGAAACCAATAGACTTATACAGAGAACGTGTAGAATTATGGGACAAGACAGCCAAGCCTAAAAAGAATCTAATGTTTCCCAATTATGGGTTTGTCTTGAATGTATGATTGGAGTATGATGATGGCTTGTCGAAACGTTATATGAAATAAACGAGATGAACATTTTATTTCACATTTTGATTGAAACCCAGGAAAGAAAAAATATAACTATTGCACGCAGTCAGAAAAATGAATAAAAAAATCAAATTAATACCTAACTTACTAGTTTCCGAGCAGTTAACTGTGAAACTCTGTCCTGCATAAACAAGCACAAAATACAAACAAACTCTTGAAAATGCCTTCAGAATGATATTTATAATTGAAACGTTTTGCACTCATAGAACACACTTTTCTACGAAATTTATGTGCAGATGACTCTCCAACTTTTTATCCATCCATAAAAGTCAACGTTTTTACGACTGACCCATCGGTCAGTAAACTATTTTCAACTTTCTCGTGTTGAATGTTATTTGAATGAATTTATAAAATGGCCATAGTCAGTCAATCTCATTAATCACGCGAATGAGTTAATCAATAACAACATTCGAGGCCTTAAGAGGCCGTTGATGCAGCAACTCCAAATCAAATTCATTCCTGAGTTTCAGTCATTTATTGTTTCTATTTATCTATCAAAATACGTTTCGGTGTATTTTTCCACCATCATCAGTTTTTATGTGTAGCGTTGTTGCTGCTTTAAGCTTTGGCATGTATTTTTGGCAAGAAAATACATGCCAAGGCCTAAAGCAGCAACAACGCTACACATAAAAACTGATGATGGTGGAAAAATACACCGAAACGTATTTTGATAGATAAATAGA